CCTATCACCTTCTTATTATCACACCTCATATAATTCAATTCTACCCCCTCATCTACATCTTCTCCAACTCTTCCCTAGTTTACTAAATTCTTTTCCAAAGTCAATACAGTTTCCTTAAATTTTGAATATTTTCTTTGAACTTCTCCTCCACCTTAGGTTAACTAAATCCTAGCTTTTTATTAGCTATATTACTTTGTTAAAACTCTCCTACTTATAAAACAGAAGTAGAGATTAACAATCTCTATTGTTTCCTGTAGGGGGGAGACAAAAAAAAATTTTCTTCCCCACCACCACCATCTCCCACTAATATTCTAACTTTATTGCAATAATTCCTCCTTTAAAATTGACATAAATTGGAGACATTCCCTGCTGGGCACAGTGGCTCACACCTGTAATCCCAGCACTTCGGGAGGCCAAGGCGGGTGGATCACGATGTCAAGAGATTGAGACCATCCTGGCCAACATGGTGAAACCCCGTCTTTACTAAAAATACAAAAATTACCTGGGCATGGTGGCATGCACCTGTAGTCCCAGCACCTGTAGTCCCAGCTACTCAGGAGGCTGAGGCAGGAGAATCGCTTGAACCCAGGGGGCAGAGGTTACAGTGAGCTGAGATCACGTCACTGCACTCCAGCCTGGAGACTCCATCTCAAAAATAAAAACATTGATATATTCCCTTGCCCATATTTATGACTGCCATCTACTGACCCAAGATCCTCTCCATGTCTAGAATACTGATTCTTGGTTCATAGTTTAAGTATGATCAAAATTCACCATCATTCTGAAGCACTAAAACATCCATTAACCAACTCACTCAAAACAATGGAATCATCTTCATTTAATGGCACAAACTTCTAACTATCTCCATTTCAGCAATACGCATTCAAGAATGCCTTTAAGGAAAACTCTCAAGTTCTCAAATGCAAGCCTTTCATTCTATATACTGTCTTCCTCACTCCCACTAAATCCACTCTTTGCCCTTACATCTTGCCACACCCTTTAATTCTAAGTAAAATTAAACTCATTTTTTTTGCAAACTCTTGCTTCTGTACTGCTTGGCACTACTAAGTCACAAAGTATTTAGAGCTCCAACTACTATAAAACTCACACTTGTTTTAACTAAGACTGCAAGAGTACTTAATATGTATTCATCCCTAATTGACCTATCTTGCATTCCCAGTACCATTTAAAAGCCCCTTTCTCTAAAGATTACCTTACTATTTCATTTAGAAGCCATAACTGCAGTATCTTTAGTCCCAAGATATGTCTATATCTTTATCCATCTTTTCTCCTTTCCCTATGTCTCATCAAACTGTTCTTTGACGCCATCCATCTCTCCCATTTCTTCCAGGACCTCACTCCATTATCTCCTACCTGATATATATTCAATCTTTCCCTCTCTACCCCTTTCCTGCTCCCTACCAACCTGATTTAAGTCTCTCACAATCTTAAGAAAAAACAAGCCTTTCTACCTAATTTCCTACTCAAGCTTGTTCTAGAAATCTTTCCTTCCCATCTCATTTTCTCAGCTTACTTTTGCTGCCCCATTTCCTCACCGCCATCATTCGTCTAGCCTTTTGAAATTTGACTTTTGTCTACTAGTCTACTAACCACTCTTACCATCAGTAAAAGTGGCCTCCTAATTGCCAAATCCAGCACCCTCATGCTACTTTAACTCTCTGAAATGCTAACATTTCTTTTTTACTCTCCTCCCTATCTTCCCAAACCTGTCACATTCCTAATCTACCTAACTGGTTAGTAGTATCTCTTCCTGCCTACTTTGAAATTAGTTGTATGTGATTTAAGACCTTCCTTACTCTATATTATTTTTGTGGGCAATTCCATTCATTCCAATGACTTCAACTAAGATCTCTGCAAATAATGCAGCTTTATCATAACTAATTGTAAGTTCTCATCTTGAGCTTCAATTATCATTCATTACACTTTCAATGCAAAGTAAACATCACCTGAACCTACTGAAAGATTTAAGACAGTTACACCATCAGGGACACTAGTAGCAGTAAATGAAGTTAAAACTATAGATCTTATAATTAGAGACCACATTTTGAATCTTGTTTCTTAGTAGCTATTACTAATCTTTATCCTGCCCCTAAATTCCAGTTCTCTCATCTGTAAATGAAAAACAATTACTTTATAAGGCTTTTGAAAATACTGAAGTTTCCAAAGTTCTTAGCACAGTGTCTAGTGCCTAAGTACTTAAAGAACATATGTATCCTTAACTGCAAATGAGAGTGACACAGGTCTCCAAGAATGTTGCCTGAAGCAATCAGTTGAAAGTTGGTTCAAATTTACTTGACATTTCCTATTTTGATTCAAAAAATTCATTTGAAAATTGCAGTCTATGATTCTAATTTATCTGTGCTATATTTTTGTTAACACTTTTAATGGTCATTCTCCCTTACTCCCACACACTTTATCATTCAACTTCAGTGAACCTGTCTCTGATGCCAGCCATCTTTTAATGTGTATCACCATGTAATATACTGCTTTTAATGTTATAGTATCAGTTATGTGAGTCACAAATACATGTGTTTAGCTTAAACCAGCTGGAATTGGGTTTCTGCTACTTGCAACTGAAAAAGTTTTGAGCAGTACACTGTGAACATTTTACAGTTCTTCCTTGTTTAGGAGATAGTTTAGGGCAGCCTAATGTAGTCTCACAGACAAAACTTTCAAATTTTGTGTTTTATTTTATCTTTCTACTGCTACCCATCCTCCTTCTACCTCTTCTTCCTGTTTTATTAATCAAACTCTTCTGTGTATTTAGGAAACTTTGATGACTATAAATGTCACGTCATGGCCGGGTGCGGTGGCTCACGCCTGTAATTCCAGCACTTTGGGAGGCCGAGGCGGGTGGATCACCTGAGGTCAGGAGTTCGAGACCAGCCTGGCCAACATGGTGAAACCCCATCTCTACTAAAAGTATAAAAATTAACCAGGCATAGTGACGGGTACCTGTAATCCCAGCTACTAGGGAGGCTGAGGCAGGAGAATCGCTTGAACCCGAGAGGCGGAGGTTGCAGTGAGCCAAGACGGCGCCACTGAGCCCCAGCCTGGTCAACAAGGTGAGACTCCGGTCTCAAAAAAAAAAAAAGTCACTTCATTTGGGTTCCAATTAGCAACAACTTACAATGAAATGGCAACTGCAGGCATACAACCATTACACGGAATCTTTCAACCAGCTGATCGTGTTTTATTTCTGAGAATTTATATCAGGAAATTAAATATACACTATTAAGAAAAGCGGAAGCATACTTAAAAATTAATTTGTGCACATCTTAAAATTAGCGGCATACTGGAGAACGGCTAGGTAACATTAGATTTGGGTATAGATTTTATTATACTGATTTTTCAGAAAGGGCAGCTCCAAAAGAGAGATCATGAGAAAAAGAAAACGCTCTCCAGACATATAACTAACATAAATATCAATGTATTTTAAGGATAAACAGCTTTATTATCAAAATCCACTTCCCACAACTACTTACATCAAGTTACTGTGACAAATAAATAAATCTAAGTGTAATCAGGTAAAGGGGAATGTGACTTGTTGAAGTACAAGGCAAATATCTTACCTTCCCTCCCCAAAAATGTGTTAAACCTAGATGAAATGCATTTATTTTTAAAAAGCTGTGCATCTCAAAGGAAGATAGGATTATACCTAGAGTTCTGTGTTAGGAAGCACGCAAATGACGCCAGCTAAGCGCTGTGCATTTTCCTAATGTGTCCATTTTACTTAGAGGTTTGGTGCGGGGTGGAGACTATTAAAACAAACATCAGTTGAAGGCATATACCTACATGTATGTATAAATATACACATATATCATTTATACATGTGCTTTCAAAGGAGAAAACTACTATCTCCAGAATACACACCAAAATCGCTAACACTGGTTGTATATGAAAAGGGATTTCAGGTTTTCAACTGCTTCAAGTAGTGTCCCCAGAGATCCATAATCACTCTCCTTTGCAATTAAGGCTGAAAGAAGTTTGAGATGCACTGCCCAGGGCACTCCTAAATAAATTTGGAATTGTCAACAATGTTTCTGCAGAAATCAACGGTACCATAAGAAACAGAAAAATGAAATGAAATTGATTCATTGGGCGTTCATTTGTGGACTGTACGCATGTGAGTCCTCGTCCTCTCCTCCTACCACCCGTAGGACTTAACACAAGGACTTGAGGACCCCTTAATGGATGAAATGTTTGACAAAAACTTCTCGACTGGGAGGAACTCTACCTCACGTCTTTATAACTCCACCTTCTTGTTTCCAAGACGTTGTACACAAAACTGAAGATAGTCATTTAAAACAAAGTAATTTCCAAAACAAAAATATGCTAAAAATAAAAACACAACGAAAGCACGACTTCAAATCCTTTGTTTGACTTTCCAATCACTTTTGGAAGACGCAGGGGAGGCTGGAAAAGAAAAAGGCTATTAGGCGGGCCTGTTCAGCAGAACGAGACCCGGCGAGGCATTGTATCAAAGAAAAGGAGTCTCCGTTCGCAAGCCCCACCTTTCCTCCCCAGCAGCAGCTACCTGCTGAGGGAAAGAGGAGGGAGAGGGGAAGGGACGCAAAGTGGAGAAGCAAAGGAAGAGAGGAAAGTGGGGTCAGGCGCTGAGAAGCCGAAATGAAATTGGAACATTGGTGGAATTACGAGGAAGGCGTGGCAGAGAGTGGCAAGCCAACCGGGAAGATCCATGGGCAGATGAGACGCAAGGAAAGTGTTCGCGGGAGGAGGGAAAAAATAAAAGGGGTTTTGAGGTGAAGAGCGCCCGAGGCTTCGATGACAGCTCGGACCGGGTCTTCGACTCGAGGGGCGGGGACGACCCGGGAGCCTTCCATTGTGCGCGCCCCCTCCTCTCCCCGCCCCCGCCCTCGCCCTCGCGGCTTCGGGCCGCAACCCCAGCTGCAGCCAGCGCCTCCCGTCTGCCCGGGGTAGGAGACAATATGCTTAACCCTCCTCCGACCCTTTCTCACCGGATGAAGATGGCCGTCGCCCGAGCTTTCTCTTGTCCATCTTCTCCCGCTGCTAAAATTTCAGTTGCAGGCGCTGTCACCTCAGGACCCCTCCGGCTTGGGAGAGGGAGGGGGAGGGGAAAGAAAAAAAAAAGCCAGCAATGTGCGAAGCGCGCTTGCGCAAGAGCCGTCGCCTGTCCTTCGACCGGAAATCAGCTGCCCCTCCCACCATCAACCGGAAATCATTTCCTGGGACTTTTCTCTGTGGGCTGTCTCCAGCGTTTTTTTGGTGGGGTTTATTTCATGATCTGATCCCCTCTGGGGAAGTGAACCATCTGGGTGCTCGATTTTAGCTTTGTTGACTTTGAAGATTAGATTGACAACAATTAAAAGGGGAAAACAGGAACTCCTCCGGTTCACTGGATCTCGCGAGGTGGCCAAACAACTATGAAAACAAAACGTTAGTGTTTGCACTATTACGTTCCTGACAGCCTCTCTTACATATTTGCCCCAAACGCCCTTCTTCGAACTCAGAAACCAAAAGATTTTAAGATGGCAAAATCACCTAATAATAGCCTAGCTATTAGTTTAGCATTTGCACTGGAAATAAGTAGGCTGACGAGGAAAAATGTCTTAGAGAGAATTTCTTTTTAAAATTAAAACTCGTGATTTTTAAAGTTCCTTAAAAGCTAGAACTTAATTTTTCAATAACTGAAATACTGAGATGACAAAAAGTGGGTGGCTATAAACTGGAATTTGTTCAATTAACATTTACCACGATACTTAAGGGACTAGACCGGTCATCAATGAACTCAAGGTCTGGTACTATTAGCCTGATCCCTAATGGTGCATATCTGAATAATTTTTAAATGAACGTGTAAGCTTTCATGACGATTTAATCACAAGTTTAACAAAATTCAGCACAGTGCTCTAAGCAGGGAAAATGTTTCTGGCATGTTCCAAGCCCGAAGGGACTCTGGAAATCGGGTTTGATTCCCAAGCCGGCCCCTTTATACCCCTCATCCCATCCCTCCAACGCCCATCTCCCATCCTAATGGAGTCAATAAAGGGATCGGCCCAACTCGTCCACTAAAGCAGTTCCCTTCTTCATGAGTCAAGCCTTCCTAATTATAATATGGTCAGTCCCCAGGTAGAGGTGAGGCCCCAGGTGTTGTGGGGTGTTGGGCTTGGGGAAGTGTTTTACATGGCAGTAATGACCGCAAGGCAGATACACTTTAAGTCTTGCTGGGATTGAGGTTCACTGTAAGGATTTCATTTTGTTGGTTTATTTGGTTAATTTCTGTTTAACAAAAACATTGCTTTCTGAAAAATAATTGAATGTTCAGTTTCCTCACAAACTAATTTTTTTAACCAAAGAACTTAACTGACTCAGAAGTCAGGCTGGGCCGGGCACAGTGGCTCACGTCTGTAATCCCAGCACTTTAGGAGGCCGAGGCAGAATAGCTTGAGCCCAGACATTCAAGACCATCCTGGGCAACAAAGCAAGACCCCCCCTCTCCACAAAAATATACAGGCCAGATGCCATGACTCACCCTAGGCGGGCGCATCACTTGAGCCCAGGAGTTTGATATGAGCCTGGGCAATATAGTGAGACCTCCTCTCTACAAAAAAATTTAAAAACTAGCCACGCATGGTGGCCAGCATGCCTGCAGTCCCAGCTACTCAAGAGGCTAAGGCAGGAAGATCACTTATGGGGTTGAAGTTGCAGTGAGCCTTGATCAGGCCCCAGCCTGGGCGACAAAGCAAGACTGTCTCCAGAAAAAACAACAAAAATTACCCGGGCATGGTGGAGCACACCTATAGTCCCGGCTACTGGGGAAGATGAGATTTAAGGATTATTTGAGTCCACGACTTTGAAGCTGCAGTGAGCTATGATCACTACATGGTACTCCCGCCTGGACGACACACAGATACCCTACCTCAAAAATAAAAATAAAAAATAAACTTCCCAGACAATTCTGTTACATACTCCAATTTGGTAAAACCAACACTTAGTGACATCTGCTTTTCTTTTTTCCTATCTCTGATATTATTTTTTCTATACGTCCTTGCCTCTGGTGGATTAAATACAGCTTTTTTGTTTCCTAGTGGGGAGGGACATTATGTACTTTCCTCTTATTTTGAAATTTCTACAGATATAATTTCACAATCACTATTATTTTCTACAATTTACTAAATGGAATTGTAATACAGGCATTATTATTTTTCTAAAAAACTACATAATCTCTGTGTTGGGAAAAGAAAAATAGTGCTGCTTTTGTACCAAAACAGTATTCTTTCTTTAAAATATATTTTCTAGAGGTGTTGTGTTTTGTTTTGCTTTCCTAAATATGAAAATAAATGAAAACTTACTCATTGTAAAAAAAAAAAAAGTATCATTAGATATTTTTTAATTTTCTGAGTAAAAGTATTCTCTATTCTGTGCTTCTTAATGGCATGGTATATACAAAAGGACCTTGTTCCTAAATATAAAAAAGGATTATAATTACTGTATTAGATTATTACTCTGTAACCAGGGGATTTCTTAACTTCTCAGATTATAAAATTACTTTTTTATAAAAGCTTACTAATCACCTGTGAAAAATGTAAATATTGTTAAATGTAACCACTTTTGATCCTAGAAAGGAAAGGGGTTCCTTAAAAATCCAAATATGCTAATTAAAGTTATTTTCGTCTATGATTCCAGTGTCCCACCCACCCTCTTCTTTAAAGATAATCACACCTAACCTAGAGAAGTCAAATTCAGAGAACTCGAAAGTAGAATGGTGGTTGCTAGTGCCTAGTGTGAGGAGAATGGGGAGTTATTGTTTAATGGGTCTAGAGTTACAGTTTTGTAAGATGAAAAGCATTCTGTGAATGGATGTCAGTAATGGTTACACAACAATGTGAATGTACGTAATGCCTCTGAACTGCACACTTAAAAATGGTTAGAATGGTAAATTTTGTTATGAATATTTTCACAATTGTTTTTTACTTTAAGAAATAACCACACCTAGAATAAATCATTACAGCTGTGTCACCACCTAATCCAGGATACTGGAAAAGCCTAATTTCAAATTCTCTCTAATGCGTATATGCTGTTCTCCTTTTTTAAAATTTTAGTCTGCATTAAACGACTGGAGTACTTGACATAGTAAACAAAGTGCCTACCAAATGGCCTCACAGAATTTTTGGTGAATGAATGAAAGAAAAAGTCAAATACTATGCATTTTTAAATCTTTGGTAAAAACTAATCTTGGGGTGGGAGGAGGGTGAGGGTTGTAAAACTACCTATCAGATACTATGCTTGCTACCTGGGTAATGAAATCATTTGTATACCGAACCCCAGTGACACAAAATTTACTCTTGTAACACATTTGCACATTCCCCCGACCCTAAAATAAAAGTCAAAAAGGGAGGGGAAAAAATCTCTCAGGCTCCTGAGCTGCCTCAGTTACTTTGGGCATGCCACTTTACCTTTGAAAGCCTCAACTTATCCATTTATAAAATAAACATGTTAGCTAAGCATATCAATAAAGTCCCTTCTAGCTCTAATAGTCTTTTTCTTGAAGATAAACTATTGAAGGAAACCAGAAAGTCACCTCAAAATATGCAAAATATGCCTTTTTTTTTTTCTTTCTGAGACCGAGTTTTGCTCTTGTTGCCCAGGCTGGAGTGCAATAGCACAATCTCAGCTCACTGCAACCTCCACCTCCCAGGTTCAAGTGATTCTCCTGCCTCAGCCTCCCAAGTAGCTGAGATTACAGGCGCCTGCCACCATGCCCGGCTAATTTTTGTATTTTCAGTAGAGACGAGGTTTCACCATGTTGGCCAGGCTGGTCTTGAACCCCTGACCTCGTGATCCACCCGCCTCAGCTCCCAAGTGCTGGGATTGCAGGCGTGAGCCACTGCGCCCGGCCAAAATATACCTGTTTTATATAAAAATTATTTTTGAGCCGAAGGCAATTAAGAAGCAGGAAATGGAGGGAAAGCTCTCTCCTCTTTTTTCTAGCTAAAAGGCAGGACATAAATTCTCTCTAGACTCTTACCAGCCCAGAAAGCCCCAGACGAATCTGCAAACAAACCTTACTGTATTAGTTTCCTTCTGTAGATTTACATTCCCACAGTTTCTCACCCTTAGAAGTCTAAAACTCTTTCCTTTGTTCTTTCTTCTCTCCACAAATTTATTGTTCTTCGTTGAAGATACTTACATAAGCCAGAGTTGTAAGCCACTGTTTTGAGTTACTCCTCATTTAGGTTTCTCTAAGGTGATGTGCACTGCATGCATTGATAAACTTCTTTGTTTTTCTGTTGTTACAAGGGTTCATTCCAACTAAGAACTCATGAGGGTTAAGGAAATAATTATTTTTCCTCCCCTAAACTATCTTATTCCAATCCATTCTTTGGAAAATTAGGCATAAAAATTGTCTCATTCTCTCCCTCTTTTGTTTAATGAACCATATTGAATTTGCTTGAGATGGTTTATCTTGATTTGCAAAAGATAAAGCATATATAAATTGATGGTTGGGATATTCTCTAAGAATAATTCATAACCTTTGACATTTATTAAGTTTAGAATTAAAAAACAAGTCTCTATAATTTTCCAAAAGCTTTGCATCTTTCTCTTATGTATTAATGTATTGCTAGAGGACTTTTAAAGTATGCTTTACTTCATGTGCTTGGCAAAAAACTGTAAAATTCTAACAATATTTAAGTGCTTACTGTGCACCAGACACTATTCCAACAACTGGAGATACACTAGTGAACAAAACCAAGTCCCTGTTCCTGCTGTCATGGAATTTACATTCTAATGGAGAGAAGTAGACAATAAGCAAACATATGTCAGTTGGTAATAAGTGCCCAAAAAAAAAAAAGGAAGGGAGAGAGTTACTCTTTATGATAGACTGCTCAAAGAAAATCACTCTGATGAGATAAAAAGTGGGCAGAAACTTTAAAATAAAAGTCCTATAGATATCTATAAAGGGGAGGAATATTCCAGGCTGTGGGCCTAGCAAGAGTGAATACTCTTAAAACAGGAGCTTGCTTCACAAATTAATGGCAAAGTAGACCAGGTGCGACCATGGTGAAGTAAACAAGAGAGTGGTAGGAAATGACACCTGAGAAAGAGCTAAGCCCCAGATCATGTAACTGGATGAGTAAGCCAGTGAGAGAGTGGTAGGAAATGACACCTGAGAAGGAGCTAAGCCCCAGATCATGTAACTGGATGAGTAAACCAGTGAGAAAGTGGTAGGAAATGACACTGGAGAGCTAATGGCCATGTGAGACCTTGTAGGCCATGGTAAGAACTTAGTTTTTATTCTGAGAAGGGAGACCATTGAGAATTTTAGTAAGCCTGTGCATCTAGACTGTGAACCTCACAGGTCTCAGTTCACTACAACCCCCTTGGGTTGGGCAGGGTAGCTAGAGTGGGCTAGAGTTGGATATTTCCCTTCCCCCAAGTCAGTTAGGCTCTGATAAAACCCCGGCAGGTTAGCCTCTGATTAAATAGCTTCTCCTGAGGGCAGACCTTGTTAAGAAAAACAAAATGCTCTGGCGTATTTCAAAATGGCTCCTTTTCCCCACCCACTACCAGAGGCATGGATAGTCACCCTGAGGACCTGTGAGAGCTCCAGGAGCTTAAACAAAATTGGGGAGCGAGGAAGAGGGGATGGCTAGGTCCCTCTGACTTGTCCACACTGATCCTTCACATTGACCTATCCTGGTAGTTGTTCCATTGGCAGCTTCAGCAGCTACTCTCTGCTCTGGTAAGTTGTGATTCTCTATATTGACGTGCTTTCAGTCCCTCCGATTTTGGAGGCGGTAGTATGCCCAATAACCTTACTTCTTTTATGGATCCTATGAAGAAGAGCTTTTCATTTTCAGTTTGTCTAGCTTTTTACTTGTTAGGACTGAGTAGCAACTTCCAAGATTTTTACATGCCAGTCTGGAAACAAGAAGTCAACAAACATCACCACTGAAAATTTTGAATAAGGTTATGACCTCCCATTAGATTGTTTCACCATGGCCTCAATGTAAAACATTCTTGGATTTTTGAAGCATGGATTTTTGCCATGCATTGCATCCATTTTCAAGGCTTTTTTTTTTTTTTGAAAGGATGGTTAAGTCTGTCAATTATTTACACTTTAGAAAAAGTAAATTAATTACATAATAACATCTGAGAGAGAGGCTGAGCATGGTGACTCACACCTGTAATCCCACCACTTTGGAAGGCCAAGGCAAGAGGATCACTTGAGGCCAGGAGTTTCAAACCAGCCTAGGCAACATAGTGAGATCCCGTCTCTAAAAAAAATTTGTTTTAATTAGCCAGGCATGGTGGCATGTGCCTGTAGCCCTAGCTACTTGGGAGGCTGAGGTGAACTGTGAGATCAGAAGGTCGAGG